AAAAATAAAATAAAATAAATAAAAAGCATGAAGTATGGCCTGCTTTATTATGTAGCCCTCTGGCACGGTAATAGCACGGCATATTTTTTACTATAATATGGTAATAAAAGAGTGCGTAGAAGGCAGACAAAGGTTCTGTCTTTTCAGTAAGGTGACCCCTGTTACCAAGTAACTGCTTTACTTATGAGCTTATTAAAAACTCAAAAAATGAGCTTTTCATACTTCACAGGCATTGATGTGAAAATGAGCTGTCCTGTGAGTAGTTTTCTTGATCATTTTTAGAACAATTGATTAGCCAAAGAGCTGCTGTCGTTAGCTGACATTGACTGATAGCAATTTGTCCCAAGCGCCGAAGGTCAGCCCGGCCGGGGAAGCTCCGGCTCGTCTTTGATTGACCTTTTCTGATGCCATTACCGTGCGGCTGGATAGACTAGACGTGACCCTCGATTGAAAAAGACAGGGCATTAGTCAACAGGGGCTGTTCCCGGTATTTGGGGGGGTTATTCATATATTGTGGATCGTGAATTAAACCTAACAACGGGCTTGTTTTAAAAAGGAGGGGGCATGCGTTTGCTCTCGAAGGCTCGGCCGTCGCGTCCCCCTCCCTTGCTTTGCCGTCGCGTGGGCAGCCCTCGGTCCGCTTTGAAGCGGCGCGCGCACGCCTGCGCCTCTTGCTTTGACGTGAGATACGAGATGTAAAAAAAATATATGTATAGGTACGTGTTTGTTTTTACTTTTGAGCATGAAACGTGAACGATGGGTCCGGGTTTGGAACTCTCCGTGTAGGTGCGCCTTTCTCAGCAGCACCAGAGTTAATTATTTTTATCTCTTCAGGATCGTGTTTTATTTTTTAACAGTGATTGAGTAGTTGAGGATTATGCTCATAACAACACGATGTCGATTTATCATTCTGCTCCAAAGCCAGAGGGCGTGAAACGGTTTTTTCCCCTCTTTTTTTTTTTTTTTTTTGCTCTCCTCAGCCTTATTCAGCTGTTAAAGTGAGATTTGAGCAGTGTTAAGTCTCTGTGCTTCAGCTACGCAGGGTTACGCTGCTGGTAGGGTGCCCCATAGGCAGTCCTCGTTTTGAAGCGTGGGGCTGCGTGCGTCGGGATTCAAACAGCAATCTGTTTCTGGTCTCAGGATTTGTTTTAGTAGTTCGCAGTAGCTCAGAAAGTCTCCTGTTAGCAGGGCTTTCTTTTGATTTGGCAGAACTAACCCTAAGTAGTGTTCCGCGTTTTGCTTAAATTGCGGGTAGCAGAGCCGTAAACTAATTCTTTTCCTTGTAAAAACCTTTCTTGCCCCCTTTCGCCTTTTGGGAGAAACTGGAATTTCTCAATGTAAGTAGCGACTTGTTTTTCAGGTCAGCCCCCAAAGCTAATAAGCGTTTCAAAAGCAGCGCAAACATTTCAGCACAGTTCAGAGTGACTTCCAGTCTTTGCTTAGGAAAAGCTTCAAACTGGGAGGAGAGTCGATCATGTGAGATGGCAGATTTTTTAGGCTGAAGCTGTTGCCATCGTTGGCAGAGCAAAAGTAGGGAAAATTACTTTTGGAACTGTTTACATTTAAAGTGGCTATGGAAATACAAATATTCCTGAATTCTAAGCCTGTCTGTAATCAAGCAGCAAAACGCATGTGTTGGAGACTTCCCTTCCTCCCCTCCCCCCCAAAAAAATCTCTCTCCCGTTACACTTCTGTGTGGCCTTGCCCAAGTCCACGCGCGTGTAGATGTGCATGTAAGGGTATGGCCCCGATCCTGAAATCAGCCTTCCGTCAGCTGTGGACGGCTTTTGCCGGCCCCCAAAGCGCACAGGACCGAGTGCTGAACACGCTGAACTCTGGCAAGGCGACGGCAAACAGGGATGGGCACCACCTTGCCCATTCACATCTTAAGCTGTTACCTAAAAACTCAGGTGCGTGTCGAAATGGCGCCTCGCTTTTCCTTCTTGGGTGGGACAGAGGAGCGAATCTTCGGTGTGGTCTTCAAGTGGTAGATGAGAAGTAGATGAGAAGTTTTGGGTTGCCAAGACGTCCCTTTTTAGCAGCGCTCTGGTCTTGCTCTTTGAAGACCGCTTTGGTATGGCTTTGCTGAGAAGGCTCGTTGGTTTTATTGTGGGTTTGTGCCCCTATGCGTTCTGGGCCTGCTGTCTTGGGTGGCTGGAGCTCGCTGGCCTGTGGGGCGCCCTCTGAACCCCCTTGGCCTCTCCGGATCTTGTTGGCCTCAGCGCAGCCTTTTGCTGCGTAATGAGACTCTTTGGCGTGTCACTGGCATCTCAAAATCAGTGGTTAAAAAGGCAAAGTAGTGCTTCTGGGGCACAGCCACCGTTTTTGAGAGTCCTTTTATTGCAGTGAACATAATAAATAAATGCATAATAAATGCACGTTGTTTCTGGATTAGTGATGCAACAGGGGTGTGATGTTGGCTGCTTTGCCTGAACCATTTTCTTACCTTTCTCGTGAAATGCTAGGGTAAAAGAAAAGATGGCTAAGGTTAGAGCAGAAGCCTTTAAAATGACGAGTTGTACATGGGGAAGGTGGATGAAGCCTGTGCGTGTCCCACAATGCACGAGCTAGGCGTGCATATTCACCAGGTCTCACAACGCAGGAGCTCTCCGTAGCGTTAGCAGGTTAAAAACCAGCAAAAAGGTGTTTTTGCACGTTTTGCATATTGCATAAAATTCATCAGCGTTATCTGCTGTGGAGGTGAGCAGGGGTCAACAAGAGATTAGACGGACTCATGGAAAATAGGTCCTTCTGTAGCTATTGAAAAGGATGGTCCGCATGCAACCCCTGCCTCGGGAAGCTGCTGAAGGGCCGGTTGTCAGAGTTATAGGGTAGGCTCTTCTGCCTAGCCCTGGTTTTTATGCGTTTTTTCTAAACATCCATTATTGCTGCTGTGAGAGACAGGCATGAGGTTGAGCTGCTTGGCCCATTGATCTGTTCTGGTTTCTGTTAAAGTAATTTTTTAATTCAAGGCAGGAAATAAGATACTTACCAGATTTTTTTATTTACTCTTTTTTTCCGACGGCTCTTGCTGATGTGGGTGTGCTTGTGTTGGTAAGAAAAAGGAAGCAGAGAGAGTTTGCATTTTCTCACCCTTATTACCCTGGTGGTGGGAATGGTTTGACGATATTCATTCAGATTTGACAGGTGATTGCTTCTGTAAATGAATGCGCTCCAATCATAATTGTTGCAACAGAATTGTTTGATTACCTGGCAGTAGCCTCTTACTCCGTGATAGCTTTTGGATCACCTGTTTGCTGAGAGCATTTGACAGTCCTCATGTTTATTACCCAATTGAATGTCAGTAGCAATTGCAGCTAAAGATAAACGAAAATGCAAGTACTTGTTGACCTTGACTTTTTTCCACGAGATATTGGACTTGATGGCTCTATTGCTGTTGAACTGATAAGAGTTATAAACAGTAGTTTAAGGAAAATGTTTTATTCCCAGAGGAAAATACCACATTGCTGTGGGAAATGGCATCTGACTCGTGCTCTTTGCCAAATTTACTCGGTTCACCTTCATTTAGGCTGTGGGAAAATAAAATAAAATTTTTCCCTTTTATGACTTTAATATCTCTGCAAACACAAATTCCTGTGCTCTTTGTAAAGTTGTGTTGGCAGGCGGCACGATAATATAAAACAAGCGAGGGACCTCTCTGTGTTTTACGATGTGCTATAATGAGGATTCTCAATTCTTCCTCATTTTCGGCCTGATTTGATAATTATAGGGAGGGAGCCGGGCTTTCTCCTCGTATTCCGTGGGAAGCTGTAACGCGCCTGTAGCTCGGCAGCATCGGGCCCAGCGTGGCTGCGGCGCGCTCCCCCGGCGTGCGGGCCGGGCAAGGTCAGCCCCAACGGTGGAGTAC